TGTCTGCCACCTGTGGATGTGCACTGCCTGTCTGCTTGGGGGGTGTAGTTGCCACTTCTCTATCAGCTGGCTGTTACAGGGGGATTTGCAATATGTGTTAAATTTGTCTCAGAGACCTGTGTTTTCTATATATCTATTTCAAATTCTTACACCACTCATATGAAATACCAAAAATTCGTGGGACTGAACTCGTGAGACCTATGTAAAACAATTTTGATGACGTCAATCTTATAACAGAAGCAGACGTGAGAATCTAGTCTGCTTTCAACACTTTTTTTAAAAAGGTCAAGTTTCAACGATCAAACCAACAGAATCATGGTTGTTTTGCGTAGATGAACGCAGACTATTATGTATAATTGAAAGCACACAGACATACACATACAGACACATACACACTCAAATAGATTAGGGGTCATCCATTAATTACGTCAACAATTTTTAAGCAATTTTTGCCCCCTACCTCCCTCTTGTCAACAACTGTAAAACTTTCAATGACTCCCCTATTTAATTATGTCAACATTTTCTACCCCACCAACCCCCACAAAAAAAAAAAATAAAAAAATAATAAATAAGGAATTATATTATAAATAAGTGTATAAATACATTTTACTTTGTGATGATCTATTTAAATGACACAAAATGGTAGGAAAAACATTTCATTACATGATTAGCTTGTCAATCAACAAGTTAAAAAGATTTACACTTAAATATTATAATGCAGAATCAATTGAAAGGTTGCTCAAGACTAAATATCATTGTTTGTGGTATAACTATGATTATTGTCAGTAAAGCTGACAATTATAGCACAGTTTCTAGCTGCTCTTCTCTTCCCAAGGAGTAACAAGGTTTGCTCTATCGTAACAATTGGCATCAGGGAAATCATTTGGGAATGGGATTTGGAAGCATTTGCCACCACTCTTTAACTTGCAGGTTTTACTTAAATTGCTATGTACTGTGGCGCCTCAAGTAATAAACATCTTGATAAGCCGACCAAGTTTTGGTTTTGCCAACTTTTGACTTCTCTTACACTAAAAAATTGCTAACATTTTGATTAGATCAGCCATCTGCAGTGCACAGTCACAATTCTTATATTGTTAAAAACCTAAAAATTATATGACTCTTTACACTCATTTACAGTTAAAAATTTTAATAGAGAAAGCATGATTGTTGACGTCAACTAATCAACCCCCCCCCTCCCTCCCCCTTGTCAACAACTGTCAAACATCTTCTAACCCCCTACCCACCCCTCCCTTATTTTGTTGACGTAATAAATGGACGCCCCCTAAACAGAGTGTAGGAGCTGGGTAATTTGCAGAAATTTTATTTGTCATTTTAAAGACATGCATGGCATGGCAGCATTATTTTTTACATAACATGACGATTTCTTTCTGTTTTGTTTGTTTGTTTCTTTGTTTGTTTTTAAAGGGTCCTTTCCAAAACATGACATGTTATTGTCCAGGACAGATTGCCGTCGCGTCTCCTCCCACGTGCAGTCACGTGACAACTCGTTTAGTGACAGTCACATGGTGGCCGGAAATTCTCAGCTCCCGGAGCGATGTAAGGCAGGAGGGGATAACTAGATATGAAAAGAGAAGGTAACTCTGGTTCATCTCAATAGTGACGTTATGAAACTAACATAATGGATACAATGGGTAGTAATTGTCTTATTAACAACAACTCTGGTTAATCTCAATATTGACTTAATGAAACTAACATAATGGATACAATGGGTAGTCACTGTCTTATTAACAAAAACTCTGGTTAATCGCAATATTGACTTAAGGAAATAACATCCTCGATACATAAGATTGGGACAGTTATTGTCTTATTCACAACAGCCATTTCTTTTCAAACGAAGCGGCGAAATTTTGATGTTTCCAAATGTTTTGAATTCCGCCCCCCCCCCCCCTTTTTTTTTTTCTCCACAATTCTGCTGTGGTTTTTGTTAGGCTATTTTAACCCAAACACTCGCCACGCAAGTGTTGACGTCATAGTGGGGTTCAGTCTATCAGAAACATTACATTTGTCTGGAAAAAAAACCCATTCAAGTTCTATGCGCAGTCTCTTTTTTTCATGATTACTTCTTCAGATTATTATAGATATTCATTCAAGATTGCAAATGGGTGCAATCAGCGATGAGCTAGGGTAAATTCAGTGGTCGGCTAGGGTAAATTCAGTAGTGAGCTGGTGTATTTTTAATATTTGAGCTAGGATAAATTCAGTTGTGAGCTTCGGTAAATTCAATGGTAGGTCAAGGTAAATTCATTGATGAGCTAGGGTAACTTCAGTGGTGAGTTAGGGTAAATTCAGTGGTAGGCTAGGGTCAATTCAGTGGTGAGCTGGGGTTCGCTATTAGGGCTAGCATTGGAAAGGCTAGGTTAGCATTTGCGCTATAAAAGAAAATATCGGAGTCAAAGGAGCTGACTCTTCAAACCAAAGTTATAATCTTTAACACACATTGCAAGACAGTCCTAGTCTATGAAGCCGAAACGTGGAGTGAAACAGCGATCATTACGCAGACTGCATAAACTTTCATAAAACCTGATTTAAAAGATCCTGAACATTAAATGGCCAAACACCATCACCAACAACGACTTACTGGAAAGTACATACCAGGCGCCCTATGATGAAGACGTCATAAGGAAGCAATGTAAGTGGATAGGGCACAATCTCCGAAAACCCCTAAATAACATCAACAGACATTTCTTGACATGGAATCCACGGGGTAACAGAAAGAGAGGAGGGCCAAACAAAACATGGAGAAGCGAGCTAGAGGCAGACTCGCAAAATATGGGATACACATGAAAGCAACTGGAAAGGAAAGCACAGGACTGAGATCAATGGGACATTCTTGTTAACGGTCTGTGCCACAGATGGAGTAAAGAGGCATAGGTAAATAAGGGTCAGTTCATTGGACATCTAGAGTTTGTTTAGTTCGTTTTGAGTTAAATCGAAAGCTACATTTAAAATACATCCCAGAATTGATATACAAAATTATCTTAATAATTTAAAGTTTTAAAAGAACATCATTGTAAAAAACAAAACATTATTGATGAGTATGTAAATGGTTTCCCTTGATTTAAAAGAACGGTGCAGCCTCCATGAGACGCATGGCGAGCATACATCATTAAGCCAGTACATTGCTTAGGGTTTAGAGGGTATGTGACATCTGCAAGTTGGATGTGTGACGTTTAGAGAATATGTGCCTTCTAATCCAATATCTTGAGAAAAACAGTAAGCCAGTTGATCCGAAGGTCATTGGATCTTACCTAACATGTCCCTAATCAGGCTTATTCCTCGGCCCGAATAGCGGAATCTTTGGTCCGCAAATCGGCATGTCAGAAGCCTTCCACATCAGCAGGCTTGATTTTTCTTTTTAGTTTAGAGATTACTATTATTATTATTAGGTGGTTTTATAGTGCGCAGTACCCCAGCCTGAAGCTAGGCTCATTAAAGTAAGCACTTACAGAAAATGTTGGAAAAAAAAAACAATTGGTGAAAAGCTTGACGTCACCCACGCAAGTACTATCTACCCCTGTCTAGCCATGGACAGCACCACACAAGTACTATCTACCCCTGTCTAGCCATGGACAGCAGCACGCAAGTACTATCTACCCCTGTCTAGCCATGGACAGCAGCACGCAAGTACTATCTACCCCTGTCTAGCCATGGACAGCAGCACGCAAGTACTATCTACCCCTGTCTAGCCATGGACAGCACCACACAAGTACTATCTACCCCTGTCTAGCCATGGACAGCAGCACGCAAGTACTATCTACCCCTGTCTAGCCATGGACAGCACCACGCAAGTACTATCTACCCCTGTCTAGCCATGGACAGCACCACGCAAGTACTATCTACCCCTGTCTAGCCATAGACAGCAGCCAGCAGCATCGAAAGTTGATTATCAGTCAGAGGTAGGTGAGAATTAGTCTGTATAGTACAGTGTGAAGAGATGGGTCTTGCGGGCAAATTTAAAGGCTGTGATGGTTGTTATATTGCGTATGTGTCATGGGAGAGAATCCCGCAGTTTTGGGACACAAAAAGAGAAAGATCGTTCACCATATGTTTTGGTGCGTGTTTTGGGAACTGAAAGAATACGCGTGTCTGCGAAGGAGACAATCTTTCGAAGGGATGAAAAGACAGTAAAAATTTCAGTAAGATTGAAATGGCAGGAACCAGAGAAAAAGTTGTGACAGAGAACAGGCAGCTGGTCATCAGTGTGTGCCTATAAAGGGAGCAAATAAAGTGAGTGAAGTAGTGGAGTGACGTGATCATGTTTCTATGCCTTTAGAATTTATAACTAACCTAGCAGCTGAGTTTTGAGCTTTCTGAAGCTAACATCTATTTGAACCATCAAGTTTACCTGACAATCTTCTTGAAATCGTAGGGCAGGATGTTGTCCTGTTCGATTGACTCCCGCCAATAGACTAATGCCGTCATGCCTCCACACGACAGCGTGACGGCGCCCTTGCCGGGTGCCTGAAATATTTCAATTCGTAAAGGCGTCAGTTAGAATATGAAGTAGAACGAGACAACCGGATCGACTTATGACTTAACGCATGCGCACTAGCACAAGTCAATCATGAAATAAAAATGACTCAAGCAAAGTGTCACAATTTAAAAAAAAAATATATATTATAGATTTGGCTTATCTTTCTTGATCAGAACTGATGGTAGTTCATTTAATTAATTTAATGAGGGAGTAAATTCACATATGAGATTGATTAAGCTAAACAAAAAAGCCTCAATTAAGCTTGATAGAAGGATGTAAAAAGAGAGATATTTAAATAGATATTTTAAAGAGATGTTGAAATAGCTGTTCAAATAGATGATCAAATAGATGTGGAATAATTGTTAACATATATGTTTGAGGAAATGCTAAAATAAAAGTTATAACAATATTAAAATAGATGTTTTTAATATATTTTAAAATAGGTGTTAAATAAATGTTAAAATACACGTTTTGAATAAATGTAAATTAAATCTTTAAAAATATTTACATTTTAGTTAAAGTAGATTTTTAAAATACTTTTTAAAACAAACATTGATACAAAAGGCTTTGTTCTGACCTACGTGTGTTTGTGTGTGTAAAATATATATAAAAATTATACAGCACTAAAAACATGTATAGTTATATGAAAGGACAGTCAGCATTGGTGGCAGAAAAACCACCAACCTACGCTTTACGGACGACAAAGACGTGCTGGGTTGGAACGAAGAAGAACTAGCCAACCTGGTAAAGCGTCTCGATAAGACCTCGTCGTCCTATGGCATGCTAATCAGTGCCGAAAAGAAAAAACTGATGACAAAAAGCACTACAGGCATCACCATTGAAATTAAGGTCGTGGAGGAAAGACTAGAGACTGTAGGCCGCTTCAAATACCTAGGAGCAATAGTCTCAGCAATAGAAGGCTCCAAGTCCGAACTGATGTCCAAGATTGCGCAGACTACAACAGCACTAAAGAGGCTCAAGAAAATATGGAACGACAAAAATATAGCCCCCAGCACCAAAATCAGGCTGATGCGCTCATTAGTCCTCTCCATTTTCCTGTATGCCTGCGAGTCCTGGACATTAACAGCTGATCTTGACAGGAAATTAAAGGCGATGGAGATGAGATGCTTCAGAATCATTTTTGGCATCTGCTATAGGGACCGTATCTCCAATGATACAGTGAAAGAAAGGGTTCGTCAGGCGATTGGGGAGTACGATGACCTACTGGTGACTGTGGAAAAACGCACACTACAATGGTACGGCCACGTAACAAGGAAACAAGGGCTTGCCAAATATTGGAGGGCACTACAAGAGGAGGGAGAAGAAGAGAGAGACAAAGAAAAAGATGGGAGGATAACATCAAAGAGTGAACAGGACTAACACTGGGCGAAGCTGCGCGTTATGCAGAAGACAGAGACGAAAGGAGGAGGATGGTTCAAACGTCATCTGTGGCGCCCCAACGGTCTACATGGAGGAGGATGGTTCAAACGTCATCTGTGGCGCCCCAACGGTCTACGGACTTATGGACATGATGATGATGCTATTCTATGAATATCCAAGAGTTGCTGTATGTAAGCGATGACTGTAGACGTGTAGCGTTTATCACGTTTAAAAACAAAATTTCTTTCACAGACGAGTTCAAACCGTTCAAAAGTAGGAAATAATTAAAAAACATGTTTTAAAATGCATTGAAAAAATTGATTTCAATTTATTTATTTATTTTTTTTTTCAAATTAAAAAATAAATATTGGGAGAATGTGCGAAGATAGTTGGATGGCATCGCTAAGACATTACTCAAATGATTACTAATTACTCTTGATTTAGCCTTCTTTCTCATCCGTCTTGGAAAATTCTAACTAGACTAAGCTTTAAATAAGCCAATAAAGGACAGTTAGAATGTTGAATAATGCAATGAGCCCACGTGACAAATATGATCATCGTGGTTTTATTTTCATCTGTATAATTACGCTTTTTAAAATGTATGCTCCTGTAGAGTTACTTAGGTATAATTTCATAATGTCAAATTCTCATAATCTGCTAAAACAAAGTTGAAGTATAATCTCGTGAAGCAAAGTCATGCATTTATTATTATTTTTTTTTTGTTCGTTTAAATGTGAAACGTTGACTGACCCCGTTTTCAATGCAGTTACAATCCGGGAAGGTACCAACAAAAACATTGAGCTCAGTCTGCATGTAGACTATCTGGCATTCTTGTCTTTGTGGGCTCAGATCTTCAAGACGGACTTCATCAAAGTCTTTGGTGACGTCAAACTGGCCAGGGCTGCAGTTGGTTTAGCAGGAGGAAACACAAATTAAAGCGCCCCGTGTGTTCAGCTGACCTAGGGGCCACCCACCTGGTACGTACGTACTGAAGGGTGGGGGGGGGTAGTCTCGATTGTGATTGTCAGCGTGTGGGGTGTGGGTGGTGTGGTCATCGTCAGAAATTACGTACATTCAATACTTTTTTTTTACAATAATCATCCTGAAATTCTGACAGACAAAAAATAGCATTTCTACTCTGCGATGCTGTAAAGATGTCACGCAAAGTTTTGTAGGACATTATCGTCATAATGTTGCCCAGTGATTATTTCAGAAATTTTCCCCCGGGGTTCACTTCATAGTTTTCGGAAGGGGGGGGGCAGTGCCAGTTGATTTATTGTTGGACATATTTTTGCTCCGGGGGGCACTTGGCTTTCCCCCGGGGGGGGGGGCAGTGCCCTCCCGGAGATTCAGCTGAAAGAAACCCTGATGTTGCCTTGTTTTTTTACAAATAAACTTGCTAGATATCGCCCAAACAGCACTCGGTAGTAAATATGTTACAGTAATATTTAGACCAACGAATGTACAACGTGTGTCTGACGTACATTTTCTTGGACTAGCCCTTTAGTTGTCAACATTTATCGATGCCCGCCGCCTATGCTCTATTCAGCTATGCACCAGGCTCCCTCAGTGACATTCTAACTAGTTAACTTCCAGATAGACTATACATACGCAAAATAAAAAAAAGGATTGGATAAAAAAATTAAATGTAACACGAATGTAGGTCACAAAGCGCCATCTATTAACTGCATACAGCAGTTTCTTAAGTGGGTTACTCTTTGCAACAAGACCCCTAGATGTCACATTGGACTAAAGGTGGAAATACAATTATGTAAATTATGTAATATTTCATAACGCCCCTTTGAGAAACCCGTATAGAAAAAAGTCCTCCCCCCCCCCTTGCAGTAAAAAGCGCCCCTTGTCTTCGTTATGTATAAAGGAGTTTAAACTTTTACCACTGTTAAGGTCCTTTCTGAAGACTATAATAACACCCCCCCCCCCCCCACCCTTCTTGGTTTTGCACACGCTGCTCTTCGCCCCACTCTCAAGAACCTTTCCGAGGGCTACACGTCACCCAGTGCCATTCGGCCTACATTCTGGGAACCCTTGGGCTCGCCACACAGCCGTGGCACATTGTGTTGACGGTGACGTCATACTTGGAGAAAGATAATTTGATTTTTAAAAAAATCTGGTTGAGTGGAGGGTCGAACGCTAATTGTACGTAAGCATGGGGTCGTCAAAAAGTACCCATGGGGTCGTCAAAAAGTACGCATGGGGTCGTCAAAAAGTACGCATGGGGGCGTCAAAAAGTTCGCATGAGGGCGTCAAAAAGTACGCATGAGGGCTTCAAAAAGTAGGCATGTGGGCGTCAAAAAGTACTCGTTCAAAATGGGGTAAAAAGTAGGGAGGGGCAAAGATTAGACATTTTTGCGTACGTAATATAGGGATGGTCCCTAATCAAATAACCTTGACTAACTATGCTTAGTCATCTCTGTCTAGATATGGATGAACGCTCCACAGATACATGTTTATGGTAGGACAATTGCGTTTTAACAAATACATGTTTGTGGTAGGACAAGTACGTCTACACAAAAGCATGGTTGTGGTAGTACAAGTACGTCTACACAAAAGCATGGTTGTGGAAGGACAAGTAGTCTACACAAAAGCATGTGTGTGGTGGGACAAGTACGTCTACACAAAAGCATGTGTGTGGTAGGACAAGTACGTCGACACAAAAGCATGGTTGTGGTAGGACAAGTACGTCTACACAAAAGCATGGTTGTGGTAGGACAAGTACGTCTACACAAAAGCATGGTTGTGGTAGGACAAGTACGTCGACACAAAAGCATGGTTGTGGTAGGACAAGTACGTCTACACAAAAGCATGGTTTTAGTAGGACAAGTAAGTCTACACAAAAGCATGGGTGTGGTAGGACAAGTACGTCTACACAAAAGCATGGGTGTGGTAGGACAAGTACGTCTACACAAAAGCATGGTTGTGGTAGGACAAGTACGTCTACACAAAAGCATGGTTGTGGTAGGACAAGTACGTCGACACAAAAGCATGTGTGTGGTAGGACAAGTACGTCGACACAAAAGCATGGTTGTGGTAGGACAAGTACGTCTACACAAAAGCATGGGTGTGGTAGGACAAGTACGTCTACACAAAAGCATGGTTGTGGTAGGACAAGTACGTCGACACAAAAGCATGGTTGTGGTAGGACAAGTACGTCGACACAAAAGCATGGTTGTGGTAGGACAAGTACGTCGACACAAAAGCATGGTTGTGGTAGGACAAGTACGTCGACACAAAAGCATGTTTGTGGTAGGACAAGTACGTCGACACAAAAGCATGTTTGTGGTAGGACAAGTACGTCTACACAAAAGCATGGTTGTGGTAGGACAAGTACGTCTACGCAAAAGCATGGTTGTGGTAGGACAAGTACGTCTACACAAAAGCATGGTTGTGGTAGGACAAGTACGTCTACACAAAAGCATGGTTGTGGTAGGACAAGTACGTCTACACAAAAGCATGGTTGTGGTAGGACAAGTACGTCGACACAAAAGCATGGTTGTGGTAGGACAAGTACGTCTACACAAAAGCATGGTTGTGGTAGGACAAGTACGTCGACACAAAAGCATGGTTGTGGTAGGACAATTGCGTTTTAACAAATACATTTGTATGTTAGGACAATTGCGTGGACACAAGTGTGACTTCAGATATATGTCTGCGTCTTCCTCACACTGAGTACTTGGTCGGGTCTGTGAAGTTGTAGGGGTCAATACGAATGGCCCCCATGTCATCCTCATCTATCACCAATATCAACATCCTCTTCACGACACCGTAAACGACTTGCTCCAAATAAAATGTAAGTTTCTGAAATAAATGGTTTTCATTGAAATACCTGCTGGTGACGTCAACGAAACCCTAGCCTACCTAAAACCTACCTACCTACATACACACTGCCTACCTAGCTACAGAGACATTTGCCACCTACCTACATACACATTGCCTACAGACCTACATACACACTGCTTACCTACCTACAGACACATTTCCCACCTACCTACATACACACTGCCTAACTACCTACATACACATTTCCCACCTACCTACTTACACAGTGCCTACCTACCTATATACACATTGCCACCCTACCTACCTACCTACCTATCTGCTTGCCTGCCTATCTTCATGCCTATAGCCTACATGCCTACTTACCAACATACCTGCCTAAATGGCTGTATACTTAACTACGGCTAAATTCATCCATTCCTACCGACCTATATAGCTACCTATGTACCTAGCAACCTAACTACCTGTTTACCTAGCTACCTACTTATATACTTACTTAACTATTTATATACATACCTAACTACCTATATACATACACATTGTAATTTCCTAATAGAAGTAGGGAAGTCTAATTAGAAACTAGTCTAAAACAACATATACATGCCATCAATTGATGAATAATTGAATGGGCATGGGATGTGGCTGGGGTCGTAGGAGTGAGGCTGGGACGTAGGAGTGAGGCTGGGTCGTAGGAGTGAAGCTGGGTCATAAAAGTGAGGGTGAGGTCGTAGGAGTGAAGGTGAGGTCGTAGGAGTGAGGCTGGGTCGTAGGAGTGAGGCTGGGTCGTAGGAGTAAGGCTGGTCGTAGGAGTGAAGGTGAGGTCGTAGGAGTGAGGCTAGGTCATAGGAGTGAGGCTGGGTCGTGGGAGTGAGGCTGGGTCGTAGGAGTGAAGCTGGTGTCGTAGGAGTGAGTTTGGGGGTCGTATAAGTGAGGCTGGGTTGTAGAGAGAGAGATGAGATAAAGAGAGAGCGGGGAACGTGACAGAGATAGTAAGATAGTGTGATCAGAGAGAGAGATAGAGACAGAGAGAGGGAAAACATACTTGTATGTGAGAGAGAGAAAGAGAGTGATAGAGAGAAATAATGTTTTTATGAGAGAGAGGGAGATAGAGAGAGTGTGTGAGAGAGATAGAGTGAGTGCTTGTGTGTGTATGAGAGAGTTTGTGTGTGAGACTGGCAGAAAGAGAGGGAGAGATAATCATCAAAACATTACATCAGGAAGTGCCGGCACCGACACTGATCTGAAGGCTCCATCGATCGCGTCGTGGACAGCATGGCCGAGGCTGTCAAGTTCCTGCTTGACCTGCTGGGCATTGCCGAAGCTGCCGCTGTACAAGGACAGGAACGTCAGGAGCCGTTGAGATGGTTCTGAAAGGGAATCAAGACCTAACGGATTTCTTACTTAAGAGATGTAAGCAGCTTACGACGATACCTTTACCAGAGTTCATAAACAACTTTTTGCCTTTGCAATGAGTCTATGTGCCAAGTTTCAGCTTGATAGGTTGACGGGAAGTGGGTGGATATTGCCCCGATACGAGCAAACTCAATGTTTATAAAAATGATTTAAAAAAAAAACTAAAAGTAGGATCTTCATCTTTCCTGGCAGGGACACTATAAATAAACAAAGATCAAATGGGCCCCGCCCCCCCCCCCCCCACTTCACATCCAATCTTTTTGATGTCAAATTGGGGCTCCGCTTGTTATAATTATAAAAAATAATTAAAAAAAAAACTAAAAGGAGGATCCTCAACTTTCCCGGCAGGGACACTATAAAAAAAAAAAGATCAAATGGGCCCCCCCCCCCCCCCCCCACTTCACATCCAATCTTTTTGATGTCAAATTGGGGCTCCGCTTGTTATAAAAAAAATATATAGAAATTAAGGCTGATGTGGGTTCAGATTTTAATCAGTACATTATCAACATTTCTACTCTTACTCTAACCAATGACAATCAGTACATTATCAACACTTCGATTCGACTCTAACTCTAACAACCAATGGCAATCAGTACATTTTACAAAAGTTCAGGGACGTGGTCAAATGTTTGGGCATTTCAGTTAGAATATAGTTATACATTAGGTGAGAAGAGAATGAGAAAGGGCTTTTTTATAATCATAAGAATATGTTAAAACCTCATTTCCATACAGTCGGGGCATTCAAATTTAGATTTTTACAAATACAATTTAAAAAAATAATCATCAAAATAAAAACCTTGAACTAATTCTCTGAGAACATTGTTGAAACACATTGAAATAACGTGCGACTCTGAGAACATTGTTGAAACACATTGAAATAACGTGCGACTCTGAGAACGCTGTTGAAACACATTGAAATAACGTGCGACTCTGAGAACATTGTTGAAACACATTGAAATAACGTGCGACTAATTTTTAAAGAGATACACTATCTCAGAACTGAACAATTTGTAGACATTGGACTTTGGAAATGATCTTTTTCCTTTTTCGTTGACACAAAGCTAGTCAATGACACGTTGGAAGTGTTTAAATAAAGCAACACTTTACACTAGAAAGTAGACCATAACGAGACGCCAATTCCAATACCGGATTACACCCGTTGACACTTTCTCTAGTATAAATTTAATTGAAACAACAATTTTTACAGTGATATACATTTTAAATAAATAAAATAGTATAGATTCAAAATTTTGCTATATAGTAAATATTCTGAAAAGAATTAAGCTTCACGATGTTATTACTTACAGCAAATTTGACATTTATTGTATTTCAATAATTTGAATTAATGCTAAAAGTAAATCACATATTTTGCAACGTGCATAAAATAATGGTAATAATTTGTAAATAATTAAAATAATTCATTCCATGATATTGAGAAACTCAATGACCCAAAGACGTGTGTCTTTATAAAAACAGTTTTATTTGTTTAATTAAGACGCATGATGGTATTCAAGCGCAACATTCATTACATCCAGGCATAAATAGATACATGTGTTTGTTAAACGCACTGAAAATACGTAGTACAATTAGGTCAATCACCTTTTCTCCCGTCAGACTCTGTGCCGCTGAGCCATGAGGCGATGCAAAGAAGCATAAGTACAGCTTGGAGCCTCATCGCTTGTGTGGTACAATTTAAGCTAAGTCGAGTCGAATGGTCTGCAGTACAATCTAAGTTCAGCTGAGTCGAATGGTCTGCGGTACACTCTAAGTTCAGCTGAGTCGAATGGTCTGCGGTACAATCCAACTTCAGCTGAGTCAAAAGGTATGCGGTACAATCTAAGTTCAGCCGAGTCGACTGCTCCCGTCTCTGGACTACTCAACCTTTCATAAAAGATAAAACACACTTAGAATTCAGTTGAAATAATTGGCGTGGGATGGGATTGAATGATAAGTTCGACGCCTCTATTATTCGACTTAATTGGCAAATGACATGACCTGGTGGCTGCGGCGGTGTGCAGAGTTGGGAGGTGGGGGTGTTGATGACCGTTTGGTCGACTATTAAACGAATTAAATAGAAACCTTGGCTTGAGCTTTATCTTTTGTTTAAAGTGAGGGGGTCTGCTCGTCAAACTAAACGAGTCCAATTGCGGACACAATGAGTGACCGACATGTTTGACCTCATTCAAGTTTGGTTTGGTTTGGTTGACAAGCCAACTAAATTGCATGGTATTACAGATTAGTATTCGAATTCATACCTACGTTTACATTTTGAGTTGCCTGGATCAGGGGCGTCCACACCCATTAGTATTCGAATTCATACATACGTTTACATTTTGAGTTGCCTGGATCAGGGGCGTCTACACCCATTAGTATTCAAATTCATACCTTCGTTTACATTTTGAATTGCCTGGGTCGGGGCGTCCACACTCCCCCCCCCCCCTTAAGTGTTAAAGCCTACCAACTACACGAAGACGAATTGATGAGGGTAGTTTACATGTCATTTGTGGCGCCCCAACCGTCCAAACGTTAAGGGACGTGATGATGAACCCCTACCCCTTTCGACATAGGTCAATGGTTGTCATGGTATTAGTATACAATTCTAGAATTCACTATGATATATTAGTCATGCAAAATTTACAGTTAAATAATTGTAAGAAAATTGTTGACTATTCATTAATGAAACGGATTTTTTTAAAAAAAAGGATGATTTTGCTTATGCAAATGTCAATAATTCTTCTTTTTGTTCAGACAATCAAATTATCAAATCCTTTGTTAAAAAAGAAATGAAAATTAGTAGGCCTATAAATATTTACTTTTCTTTTTAAATTATTAAAACATCAAAATACAGTGTCGGTGGCTTAATCGCTGGGTTGTGAAAATGTGTCTGTTCCAAACTAGTCGTTTGGAGAGGAATTCCCAGAATACCTAAGACATGCACAGGTAACTCACTGTTACTGTTCTTCCTTGGCACACAACGATGACCAAGGGATTATTCGAATTAAATAGTAACGTTGACTTGAGCTTTTTCTTTTGTTTAAAATTTGGGGTAGTTGCTCAATTCGTCGGCCTCACTCTCTCGTTCTTGACTATTTGAACCGATGGCAAAAGTTAGTCAAAACGAATGGATAGAGACGAGTATTCAGCAGATGGCCAGCAGTGTTTCTTGTGTGTTTCACTGTGCTCTTTATGCCTTGTACTTTGCAGGAGTTGACGGAATTTTTATTGTGTCAATGTCATACAGCCTGCGGGACTCCATCTCCGGCTTTTAGTTTCAGAGTTTGCCTTCTGCTAGATGAGTTTCCATCCAAGTTTAACTATGGCATATACCCGGGGTGTTTGTGGGGCTCTCGCTTGTCTAGGCTTGACATTGGAATCAAGATCACAAGCTTGAAATGGACTCAGTTACTGTTTAAGAAACTAGCATCCTTGTCTTAATACAAATGCAAGGCCCTGTCCATCCCAGGTCGTATACTTCGTCGCACTGACCATTGCTTTTTTTTTTTTTTAAATCAGTATTAGTAGTTTTAACGTTACTATATTTCATTTATTTGTTATCTAGAGAAAATCAAAATTTAGCAGGGGTGTTTTGACACCCCCCCCCCCATTTTTCTTTTTTTTTTTATAAATGGGTTTTGGTGGTTTTAGGTTTTTTATTTTTTTTTTTTTTTTTATCTAGAGAATATCAATTTTTAGGGGGGGTTTTTTCACACCCCCCCCCCCAAACATAAATTGGCACCAACTTTTTCCTCCCCCCCCTCCCCTTTGTTGACGCCCCTTGCCTGGATATTGGCACAGCGAAACGTGTTGCTACGAGACCGAGTGTTGCTACGAGACCGAGTGTTGCTACGAGACCGAGGGTTGGTACGAGACTGTGGGCTGCTACGATACTGAGGATTGCTACGAGACTGTGGGCTGCTACGAGACTGATGGGTTGTAAAAGAACCACGACCATCTGTTGTAACATTTTGGGAAGGCATTGTGCAAGCCGCCACGGCAACAATGTACATACACATACGTTTCTTATAGATATCCATAACAGATTCATTTAAAATCTATGTTGAATATGAATCAATATTCATAAAAACTGAATGAATGATGTTTAAGCACAGTAAAATTCTGCTTAGTTTTATATTGGTCAGTGTTATAAAACACGTTTGTTTTGATCGTTTCCCCCCATCTTCTAATCAATGTGAATAGTTCATCTTCTTTTAAATTATAGCGCATGTTCACCTTTCTAGCTTCTGAAGGATGCCATTCTGTAAAATAGCGACCGCAGAGGGAAAGCTGTCAATAACCACAACCCGTGGAGCAGAAGTAAAGCTGCCTGCCATTTACAGGGATGATGTTATTCGTCAAAGAGAAGTTAATTACGCAGATTAAATCTGAGACAAAGTTATCGATCGTAAGTGCGAATGTAAGCCATCGTGATTGTGGTTTGCTCTTTTGGTAGCTCATTTAAATATTTCAATACTTACATTTTCATATTTGGGTTAATTACCACACAATAGAACAATCACCTTACAATCATATGGCATATTTGGGTTAGTTACCACACAATAGAATCTTCATCTTACAATCAAATGGTATATTTGGGTTAGTCACCACTCAATAGAACATTCACCTTACAATCAAATGGTATATTTGGGTTAGTTACCAAGCAATAGAACATTCACCTTACAATCCGATACAAAATGCAACAATTTTGATTAAAAAAATCTATTATTAAATATTCCCAATAGATTCAATAACAGCAAAATTTTAGAACCAGTCTTTAAAACAATGAAATTAAAAAAAACCATCAAATCCTTAACACCCGGTGTTCGCTGGTCGATGATAATGCCTTACATCACGCCATCAAGTTTATGTTTCAAAAAAATGCTTTACATTAACTTCGCTATTGTTCGTGGCCAGCTGGCAATATCTTCGGATGTCTATTTGACCGAATTCCCAATTACCTATCGAGTTCAAACATGGCAAATTGACTCGTGGTCGACGTCTTTACATTCTTTCACATTTGCAGCCCCGATCCCCAACAACAAAGCACAAAAATCTGTTTTGTCTTGTTTTTTCTGAAATATTTGATGAAATAAAACAGCAGTGTAAAAGCGGGTTGGGGGTGGGCTTAGCATAATAATATTGTTGAGGGGCATGGAAAAAATATGCGGTTGCGAGCCTTGGGGGGTGGGGTGGTTGTACTAATTGGAATTATTAAATGCGTTAATTGCATGCATGCTTTGTCAATATTCAGCCAAATCCCCTATCGCTCGATATTGCATTTCATAAAGATTTATACCAAAAGCTTTGTATTTAGGTCTTTTTTTATGAATTAGACTTAACTCACGTAGGACTAGGAGTTTCTACGCCGTATTCACACAATTGAAAAATTTCTATTAAAAAATTATTTTTTACGACTGATTTACATCATCACAGCCAGTAAGTGATGTGTCGGCTAGTGCGTACTTATTTCAGGTCCCTACACGAGACACTACAGTAAGTGATGTGTCGGCTAGTGCGTACTTATTTCAGGTCCCTACACGAGACACTACAGTAAGTGATGTGTCGGCTAGTGCGTACTTATTTCAGGTCCCTACACGAGACACTACAGTAAGTGATGTGTCGGCTAGTGCGTACTTATTTCAGGTCCCTACACGAGACACTACAGTAAGTGATGTGTCGGCTAGTGCGTACTTATTTCAGGTCCCTACACGAGACACTACAGTAAGTGATGTGTCGGCTAGTGCGTACTTATTTCAGGTCCCTACACGAGACACTACAGTAAGTGATGTGTCGGCTAGTGCGTACTTATTTCAGGTCCCTACACGAGACACTACAGTAAGTGATGTGTCGGCTAGTGCGTACTTATTTCAGGTCCCTACACGAGACACTACAGTAAGTGATGTGTCGGCTAGTGCGTACTTATTTCAGGTCCCTACACGAGACACTACAGTAAGTGATGTGTCGGCTAGTGCGTACTTATTTCAGGTCCCTACACGAGACACTACAGTAAGTGATGTGTCGGCTAGTGCGTACTTATTTCAGGTCCCTACACGAGACACTACAGTAAGTGATGTGTCGGCTAGTGCGTACTTATTTCAGGTCCCTACACGAGACACTACAGTAAGTGATGTGTCGGCTAGTGCGTACTTATTTCAGGTCCCTACACGAGACACTACAGTAAGTGATGTGTCGGCTAGTGCGTACTTATTTCAGGTCCCTACACGAGACACTACAGTAAGTGATGTGTCGGCTAGTGCGTACTTATTTCAGGTCCCTACACGAGACACTACAGTAAGTGATGTGTCGGCTAGTGCGTACTTATTTCAGGTCCCTACACGAGACACTACAGTAAGTGATGTGTCGGCTAGTGCGTACTTATTTCAGGTCCCTACACGAGACACTACAGTAAGTGATGTGTCGGCTAGTGCGTACTTATTTCAGGTCCCTACACGAGACACTACAGTAAGTGATGTGTCGGCTAGTGCGTACTTATTTCAGGTCCCTACACGAGACACTACAGTAAGTGATGTGTCGGCTAGTGCGTACTTATTTCAGGTCCCTACACGAGACACTACAGTAAGTGATGTGTCGGCTAGTGCGTACTTATTTCAGGTCCCTACACGAGACACTACAGTAAGTGATGTGTCGGCTAGTGCGTACTTATTTCAGGTCCCTACACGAGACACTACAGTAAGTGATGTGTCGGCTAGTGCGTACTTATTTCAGGTCCCTACACGAGACACTACAGTAAGTGATGTGTCGGCTAGTGCGTACTTATTTCAGGTCCCTACACGAGACACTACAGTAAGTGATGTGTCGGCTAGTGCGTACTTATTTCAGGTCCCTACACGAGACACTACAGTAAGTGATGTGTCGGCTAGTGCGTACTTATTTCAGGTCCCTACACGAGACACTACAGTAAGTGATGTGTCGGCTAGTGCGTACTTATTTCAGGTCCCTACACGAGACACTACAGTAAGTGATGTGTCGGCTAGTGCGTACTTATTTCAGGTCCCTACACGAGACACTACAGTAAGTGATGTGTCGGCTAG